GTGTTGAAGATAGTAGCCTGGATCCTGTACTTCAGGGTGATAACTGCCTGTGTGAGGGCTGCTGAGGGTGCTCTGGGACCCTACGGAGGGGCATCTGGCTCAGGCTTGGAGGGCCGGGAGGGCTTTTCAGAAGGATTGGTGCTTCTGCTGAATCTAACCAGGGTCATAGCTCAAATGCCTATAGAACAGACAGCACAGGTAATGAGTGACAAGCTAGGTCCATTCTTAGGCATGGAAGTACTGTGATTGACTATCACATATGTAGGTGAATTCTCACTTATACACAGATAATATTCTCTTTTAGTTTTCTTGAAACATGCTCTAAGTAGTTAGATATGAGTGCAGGGAAAGATTGCTCTCCTCTAAATCAACAGTGTAAATGTGATAAGTGGTCACTGCTTCTTTTTTTTTTTTTTTTCTTTTTTTTTTATAATGCAAGCATTTTTGTTTTTTGTTTGTTTGTTTGTTTTTAACATTTATTGTGTGTGTGTGGCCAGCTCAGCCCACCAGGGGGCGCGGCTGGCTGGCATGTGGTGCTGGGGGATCGAACCGCGGTCCCTGTGCTTTGCCAAGCTTGTTCCAAGTAGGTGCTTTAGACCACTGAGCCATCTCTCCAGCCCCGGTCACTGTTTCTTGACCTCCGTATTAGTTGATTCTTGTTTCTTTTTTCTTAATCTAGAACTGCTAGTTTCTTTTTATGGTTGAGTAATATTTTATATTACATATGTAGCATTTGTTTAGTCATTGTCTGCTGAAGGATTTATTCTAACATACAGTTGTCCTTCACTATTGTTTTAGTTTGCATTTTTCTATTGAGTGATGACTTCCAAGTTCTTTCAGCATTGTTTTATTTACATATTTTCTATGTATATATCTTCATTGGTAAGATGTCTGTTCAGATCTTTTACTCATTTTTAATTGGGTATTTTATTTTCTTATTATTGAATTTCAAGAATTCTTTGGTGTTAATTATTGAAACTGCCCTACCAATTTGGTTTGAAACTGTCTCATTGCTATTTGTTTCTTAATAAAATTATGAAAAAAAATAAATTTTAAAAAAAATTTTTGAATGGTTTGGATATTATCATTTATTAGATATAGGTTTTGCAAAGATTTGCTTTCAGTCTGTTGCCTGTGATTTTGTTGTGTGAACAATGTCTTTCATAGAAAGAATTTTAAAACTTTAATAAAGACTAACCAACTCTTTTTAACCACTCATACTTTTGGGTTTTTTACCCTCCCCCATACTTTTGGTTTTTTAATCTAAATAATTGTCATACCCAAGGCCATGTGGATTTTTTCTTTTACATTAACTTCTATGAGCGAGTTCATTTTTAAAAAGCTGTGCTTAGTACTCTGTACTTACTTCCCGTATTTATTTTTTTTATGTCTGTTTTCTCATTTTCACTTTTATTCATTTTATAAGCATCTCTTGAACATCAAGTATGTTTCAACTTTTGCCTACCAATAAAACATGTAAAACATTGAAATATAATTGGATGAAGTGAAATAAGTTCTGACTTTGGTTACACATTTCTTAGTATAAGAAAAGTTATCTCAAGGTCTTTGCAGCATTTTTTGTTTACTGTTACTTATTTGCTAGCATCACAGTAGTGCACTTTATATACTTTGTTATTTAATCCATGTTCTTTATGGTTTTGTCATTGTTGTAAATTGTTAATTGATTTGATTCCTCTTCTCAAACATTTCTATTTCTTGAAACTTTAGTTCTCTCAACAGTGTTAATAACTGAAAGAATATGCTCCACTGTTTTTTTTTCCCCCAATACAGTGGTCCACATATCAAAACAAACTATTTTTTTTTAAAAAAGCAACAGCAATAAAACAAATCCCTTTCTTTACATGGGACAAAATAAGAGGATGCAGAAACAGCCCTAGGTACCTCTGCCATCGGATCTTTGACAAAAGGGCCAAAAACATGCTAGAGGAAGGATAATTTCTTTAACAAATTGTGGGAAACCTGCCTTTCCACATGCAGAGGGTTGACTCTAGACCTATATATCTGGCCATGTACTAAACTAAAGTAAAAATGGATCAAAGACTTAACATTGTTATAACAGAAACACTTAATCTGCTGAAACATACAATTAGGTAAAAGTCTTGAAGATGTAGGTACAGGAAAGGATGTTCTGAACAGAATCCAGTTATGCAAGAGCCAACAAAATCAATCATAGCAAATTGAAAATCTTTTGTGCAGCAAGGAAATAATCAACGAGGTAAAAAGCCAGTGTACCAAATAGGGGAAAGATTTTGCCAGCTATACTTTGGGCAGAGGACTAATGTCTAGCATATATAAAAACTTCAAAAATGTTAAAAACCCCCATCCCCAAATGAATGACTCAATGAAAAAAATGAGCAGAGCAGGGCATGATGGCCCAAACCTATAATCCCAAACTCTGGAGGCTGAGTCAGCAAGATTGCCATGATTTTGAGGCCAGCCTATCCTATAATAAGTTCAAAGACAGCCCCAACTACATAAAAAGACCCTGTCTCAGCAAAGAAACTAAATCAAAAAATGATCAAAATATGAATAGCTATTTCTCAGAACAAGCACAAGTGGCAATTATATGAAATAATGTTCAGTAGCTCTGGCCATTAAAGATATGTAAATTAAAACAATACTGAATTTATTCCATCTTACTCCAGAAAGAATGACTATCATCAAGCAATTGACATATGCTGTCTAGGTTCTGGGGTGGAAAAAAGAACCATTCTAAATTACTGGTGGGGAGGGCTGGCAAGATAGCTCAACAGACTAAGAGTGCCTACTTAGACAAGCGCAGGAACTGGGGTTTGATCCTGGCACCACAGGCCATGCCGGCCCCACTGTACCGAGTCCAGGTGTGGTGGCACACACCTGTAATCCTAGCGCTGGGAGACTGAAAACTGAATGATCACTGTGTCCAAGCTATGTAGTGAGACCCTGTACCTAACACATTAAAAAAAAAAATTACTGGTGGGAATGTAAACTAGTATAAGCACTATGGAAATTAGTATGGAGATTCCTCAAAATACTAAACTAGAAATTCCATTTGACTTAGCTGTTCTGCTTCTAGATGTCTTCCTTAAAAGAGCTAAAAATGTATTATAGTGATATATTCATATCTATGCCCATAATCAGAATGATTCACTATAGTTAAATCTTGGAGGTGGCCTATATGTTCATCAACAGATGAATGGGTAATGAAAATGTGGTATTTATACAGTGGATGTTATGGTTTATATCTAGTTTTCCCCCCAAGTCTCATACAGTCTTAGGCTTTTTTTGAGGTTTAGTCTAGAGTGTGTGATGCTGCAATTAAGGATATGTGATTGTGGCCAGGGAGATGGCTCTGCGGCATAAGCACCTGCCAGGCAAACGTAAGGTCCTGAGTTTGATCCCCAGAACAACAATAACAAAAAGATAGAAGTGTATGTGATTGCTAAATCAATCCACTGATTGGCTTGCTACCTCTCTAATCCTAGAAGTCTACATAAATATAAAAGGGGCAGAATGATGCTGGTAAGGGCTCGTGTTACTTTTACTATCTGTTGCCACAACAGGTGCTTGCCCTTCTGCCATGTACCACCCTGCCTTAGAGCCACCCAGTTATGGACTGAAACCTCTACAAATTGTGAGTGAAATAAATCTTTACTCCTTTCAACTCCAAGCCTTGGGTATTTTGTCTCAGCAGAGAGAGGAAAGTAAGACAGTGGACTACTACTCTGCCATAAAGAAGGATAAATTTGAGTCATCTGTAGGAAAATGGATGCACCTTGAGATAATAATGTTAAGTGAAATAAATTAGATACACAAATATCACATGGTTCCTTTTAAGTGAGAACCCAAGAACATATAAATTAAGGCAACAATAGATAATAACAAACAGGGAGGTGGATCTTTTGCAAAAGGGAAAAAGAAGAAGAGATAAAGGAAGGAAATTAACAAGAATTAAAATGTGTTCTATGCATGTATCAGCTCCCCACAATGATTGTAATCATTTGTACTACAAATGTACTAATAAGAATAAAAAAGTTTTTAAAAGCACAGGGTAAAATGTGTGTTGGGGTTGCCTTATTTTTTTGAAGTAAAGCTAGTCTTTTTGCAGTCAAGCAATAAAATAATTTTTTTCTGAAATATTTATGTTCAGAGATGTTATTTTTGCAGGGTATCCTCGCCAAAAATTCATTATCTTGGAAATGTAAGCTTCTGCAGAGGTTGTAGTTTCAGACAGTAACATCCAAATTTATTGCTTCCACATTGCATGTTTTAGGAGAATCTTATTTCTAAATCTTACTGTTGTGTTTTTTGAGATAAAGGGCAGGACCTATTGAACCCTTGACTTGAGATAACTTTTCTACCAGCTTCCCTTTTTTTTCTCTTTTCTTTTTTATTTCACTTAAGGTAACTGGTATATATACATACTGCATCTTAATCATTTTTACTTCCTGTTCCCTTTCTCATTCTCTGCTTTCCTAATTCCAGATTTTCTCTTATTTTTAAACTTCCTTTCTTTTCTCTCTTCTGCCTTCTTTCCTTTCTTCTTTCTACCTAAAGATATTTTCTTTATGATTGAATTTGAAATTTTACTATAGCTTATTTCTTACTTGATAACTTTAACTTTATAAATCTAGACATGACTTTCTTGTCACATTCATGGTCAATACTTGTATTTTATATTTCATATAACCATCCATACTTTTCACATTGAATATCATCTCACAATCAGCTAGGGGAAGGAATTGCTCCAAAAGGTGGTACTGAAATGACCTTAGATTACTGGTAGGAATCCATTCTGCTACTGTCATATAACTTGTATCTTTCTGATACCATTTTAAAATTGTTACTAGGGTTGAAAGGAATAGTTGAAAATAAAAGTTTCAGGATAAAATGTTTTGTAAGTAATATTTTATACCTGACACATACACATACATATGATTTTAATATATTGATTGCTTTAATCCACATGACTTTTTTCCATCCTATTTTTTCTCTTACAGACATCAGAGAAAAAAGGAAAAGAAGCAAAAAGTGGTTTTGGTGGGCCAGTTGTTAGTTCTCTATATCATGAAGAAATCATCAGGTAATTCTTTTTTCTGATCTTTGATAATAGCAAGTATATGTTTAAA